TATATATATATATATATATATATTTATATACGAGTACATATAAAAACAAAACCAAACACACATACGTGAGAGCTTTAGTCACCCAACACACACACACAGACAGATGTATATACGCCCCAATTCGTTTCTGGCAACATCAGTTCACATATTGTCAGTGTGACGACTTCAAACCTCGAGACACAGTCAGCAGGACTGCCGTGATTCAACTCTTGTGCTGGCCTCGAATTGCGTCGCCGGGGCGTCCTCCGATCCATGTGATCTCAAAGTGAAGGTACCAAAGCCTCTGTGCCGCTGACTTTGAACAGGCCCAGTGGATGGCAACTGCTCGCCGAGCCCGAGGCAGAGGAAAGGAGAGCCAGACTGCCTGCAAGCGATGTCTTGTGGGCCAAGGTGCCGCCGGCCAAGGCTATAAAGAAGCCGAAATAAAGCAATTAATGTCAACTTTCGATAGCTGGCAAAGATTTAGCACTCTGAAGATGGGACATTTAGGCTGTCCGTAGAAGGTTGCCACGAGGAAAATTGAATGTGTTGTTTAGGCTATTTGCAATTCTTGCAAGAGGCGATTTACCTTTTCTGAATCGCATTTCGCCGAGGCAACAGCCCCCAGTTCTGGCTGAAAGAAGCTGCGCTTGGTTCCGGCCAGTTTTAATTGTCTGACAGCATAACAGAGAGCCATTCTGGCGGATCCTTCAAGCGGTCAAGTGAACCTTTACCGAAAGTAGTCGTGTCTTTTGGCAGCTGTCTGACAGGCCAAACGACCGAGACGGCCTCAAATCTCCGGCATCCGGCCCCATGACAGATATACAAACCAAGCCTGTTGTCGACGAAAGTGTGTCCATGTACCGAGAATTGTGGAGCGACCAGATCTTGTCAGATCAAACCGCCCCCTCGGACAGCGTCCCACTGTCAGGCACAACACTGGCCTGCACGAACAAAAACCCACACTTTCATTCGAAGGTATACCAACTGGGTGGCGAGACGATTACGATGCTCGACCAATATGGGACAAAAAACTTCTCGTCTTCTCCGCTGAACCTTAGAGCCAAGGAGGCTACACCGAAAGAGGATACAGTCGCCAAAATGAGACTCCTGGAGACTCTCTCTCTCTCGCTCTACTCTTTCCTACTTATTTATCCATCTATCATTCACCTGTAAATTGGTTCTCAAGGCTACCATTAGAGCATACGTATGAGATGAACGGCAATTACAACCTTGCACCACCGACGATCCCATCACAAAATGGGGTATGGGAAAATTCCCGGCCTTTCTTGAAATTCACATTTGCCCTCTGACCCAAGGGCACTCGTGGCGATGTGGCATAGTGGTCACTGCGTAGGGCTTATGCGCTACGCGATCATGGTTCGAGTCCCGCTGGGGCTAGTGAGAAGACCTGGGCGATGTTGAAAGCGCCGTCCACTTTGGATGAGAATACCTTTTGGGAAAGTATGGCCATGGGAAAGTCAAGTAAACGATTGTCTACTCGTTGCATTGTAGGGAATTTTAACTACCAGCCCTTTATCACCTCACACCAAATAAGGTATATACAGCTAATGCTTTCTAATTTACATGAACATACTTTTTTATTTCATAATTAAAATGCACACATTTATAGAGCTGCTTAAACGCGAAGACTATATCTATCCCCTCAGTTTGTAAACTGTAGAAGGTAGCTAACGGGCTAGAAATATAGACACCTTATTTGGATCAAGATGCTTAGGGGACTGGCACTTAAATATTCCCACAATCATACCAATGAACCCTACATTCACATTGCATTTCACATAGCCTTGCTATAACAAAATTGAAGCATGTCGCCAATTTACACGCATGTTGACATTGTCGTTGACTATACTAGAGTTGAGAAAACCGTGTGAAAAACACGAATAGCGTCTGCATACGCATACACACAATAGAGTATAACAGAACCAATCAAACCATTCTATATCTATCTAGATCTAAATCTTTTCCTTATGATTATGTGTAGCATGTAGAACAGGGTCGAACCATCTTCTTGACTAAGGGTCGACGTAAAAATTTGGTAAAAATGAGTCCCAATTCTGAGGATTTTCGTCAAATAAAGAACAAAGGCTCCGCGCGTTTTCGTTCTAAACGCGGGAAGATGTTGGATTGCATCAACCCGAACATTGTATTAATAAAGCCATTGCAACACAATGAACATTAGCCGTTGCTTTCACGTGAAATCGACATACAAGGCTCTTCACTAATCTCTTTTTTATACGACAGATAATTCTGCAAAACAATGTTACAAGTATGCATGAAGTGGTAGTCTCGAAAACCTACTTATAAACGAAAAGTGTTGCAATTAATTTGTCCAATTCGGAATAGTCGAAACAATCATATGGCATAACCTATGTGGAGCTGAGGTCCACAAATTTGTGCAATCTCAAGAGATTGAAGTTTCTTTTAATCATACTCCCCCCACTGCTCATCATTATTACTACTATTTATTGTAATGCTGCTACTGATATTTTAATTTCAATGAAATGCTGACATAATACTGATTTAGTGATAGTAAATAATTCCAATGCTACTACTGGTTGTAGTTAGTTTAATTAGAGAAATTCATTTTTCCCTCACTAGGTACGAACGTCCATGAGGGTCTTCATTTTAGTGAAGTGTGATTTGGGGCTAAACTTGGCCCCCATAACCGATGCACCTCTTTGTATGAAAGCTGCCACATGTGGTCGGCTGATTAAGGCTAAGAGATAAGACATGGTCAAAATGAGGGAATGGCATCAGAAAATGGCTTATGCCTGGAATAACGGAATAAAATCAGATTAAGATTTACATTACAATTGAAGATAAAAAATTCCTCATTACAACTAATAATGTCCTCTCGTCACCTGACATGTTGCATCTATCGTTTGCATATGCTTGCATCAAACTGCTGATAGGAAAATGTAGCCGTTGACACATATCCACACAATTCATCTCATCTTGGCACAGCTTGACAACACTATAATTTTTGCTTCCAGCTTTACTCTGGAGATTGTCTGCAACACTCCAAGAACGTTCAATCTTCAGACTGCAGTACATTGTCCGCTTTTATTCAAATCCGGTAAGCAAACATTCTTCGCTTAAGAGAA